ACACACACACACACACATAGAGGGTCTTGCAAGAAGAAAGGGGGACTGCTGAACTCATTACACAGTATGAGTTCCCAAATCCCCTTACACAAAAATACATCCCGCAGTCTACTATTCTGTCATGTGTTACTAAAGCTGTTTTCCCAGTAGTAATGGAGGAGTGTGATGAGTAAAGAAAACAGTTGTAGGGTTTATGATTATCTTATTGTCAGACAGTTGCCAATAGGGAGTTTGGGAAAAAGGTTATGGCTGGAAGGTCAGGCAAGATTCAAATTGGGCACAGTCGCTGCTGTACTGATGGAAAGGTACATGGAAAATGGAGTTAAGCAAAGGCTGCAGTGAGTTTACAGTGTCTTGTCAGCCTCAAGTGGTGTTTAGTTTGAACAGAACACCTTGGTGGCCTTAAGGTACAAAGTAATCCACTTTTCTGACTCTGTAACTCAAACTGTATGTCATCACTTTATGATACTATCTTATTATGTCCTTGTTTCTAGAGAGAATCAAGTAATGCTTCCCTGTAGACTAAAAAGTTAGTAGCAGTACTATTACTTGTCAGCTAGTGGTTTACATAGTTGATCAGTGGTTGGGACAAATATAAATCCTCCCTACCTCATTCAAATGTGCATGGAGGGCCATGCAACTGGACCAGGAACCATTACACAGAGCTAGGATGTAACTGTGGTTCTGTGAAGGGGCCGTGTTTAAGCTAAAATAATAAATAATAAAACATAAATATTTGGGCTTCTACTCTACATTATAATCAATCTATGCACTTAACTCATCCAAGAGGCTTCATCAACTCATACTCTGTGTGGCAAGCTGATTATATCATCATGTAACGATCTTCACGATCTTCTTACAACTTTCTTTGTAATATCTTTTTGTGCCAGTCGAGGCTGTTTAAACTCTCTGTTCATCGCCTTTATTGGAACTGTAGGACAGTTTGTTCCAACCAGCTATTCTCTTCTGAGGGACAGTACCATTTATCTGTTACATGATGCTTCAAAATCAAAATGATCTTCCTATTTCCCAGCGGTTGGGAAAGAACAGTTGAGTCAGGCCTATTTATGTTTTTACCACAAGATCGCTTTACTACAGAGAAGATGTCAGGTTGGAGAAATCCATACAGCACAAACAACTATTAATAAACTACATAGTGGGTCAATGGTATGATTGGACTTGCACCAGCAGCAGGCATTATGCATGTGTCTTTTAAGAGTGTTTGTGTGTGTACGATGGCGGGGTTTAAATGTGTGTATGTGAGTGAGTATAAAATCTTCAGAAAAGGAGCAGTAATCAAATAAAATGTAAACACAGTTTTGCTATTAGATTAATTACTCCTAAAACTGTCTTTGTAAATATTTCATGTAAATAACCCAGAAGATGGCATGACCCAAAGTATTTGGACAGTGTCATATTTATTGTTGTCATAGCTCAATAATATGAAACAATGATTTTTGAAATTAAGCAATGACTATGTGGGCAAGGTATTGACTCTCAAGCTCACATATGAGGGTGCATACACATTAGATGAATTATAATATTACAGTTAATTTGCAGTACATGACTGTGACCCACAAACATCAGTATACACTTGGTATCTTCCCTGGTGGTTTTGTGTTAGGTCTGTCTTCTCAATCTTCACGTCACTCTTCACTTCAGCAAGTAAAAAATAAAGTTGGGTTGAGGTGGTGAAACACAACTGTCTGCATACTTTCTGATTGCACTGTACATCCTTTCACAATATGAAATGATTAAGAACTGTTTTCCCTTAAACACCCCTATCACATCTTTTGGATCTTATTACAACAATGGTTACATAACCTCTCCAGCCTCAGTGATCCAGGAGTGAACCTTTCAGTGCGCCCTGTATTTTGCAAACAGATGTATTATATTTTCATGACAAACTTAAACATCTATAACATTCCATTTTATGTATCAAATAAGGTGTGTTTTGTTTTTCCTTAACATAGGACACGGTAGAAGAAAATCAAGAGAAGTAACTGTTTATTTCAGAACCACAGCAATTAACAACACCTCTTGCATCTCTTAAAAAAGTAGTGTGTATCCCCCCTTAAGACATTTAAAGCAAATATAAATGTCAATGTCATGTTAGAATAGACTCCAAAGTCGCTCTGGTAATCTGCCAAATATGCCAATGGTGTGAGTGTTGTTGTCTTATCTGTCCCGTTTGAACAAAATCAATATGGAACTTTTCCTGGAAGTATACCGTATGTAAAGGCCAAACGGCCATACCATTACATTAAATTCACAGGAATCTCAAAACAATAATTTTGCAGTGCTTCCCTTCAGTGGGGAACATGGGACATTATTTTTGTTTGATGTCTCTAGGTTGTTTGTAGTTTATTCATAGCACGCTTGATTTTGTTTGCTTTATATGATGTCTTTTATAAATTCAGATCCTTGCACCAAGTTATAATTTCAACAGAAAGATAAATCCAGCAATGCAACATATGTATTATATATAACATCTGTGTATAAAAGGGGTTATTTTCTAGAAACAATGAAAAAGTTTTCTTCATTTCTACATTTAACAAATAAAGGTTCCAATGAAATTTTTAGAACTAGTATTCATATTGAAACAGCTCTGACGTCAGTGACGTCAATGGACAACATACAGGACTGATTGGTTTCTAACTAAACTAACTAACAAAATTAACAAGGCAGGAAATTATTTTCAGGGAATTTCACCAAACGTCACAGTGACTTTAATGACATGTCATGTGGATCAAAATGACAGCATGGCAAAGAGAACAAACAAACAAAAAAAAAACTTACATATGAGTGACTCAACATGCAATCTGTTTACACAATGTCTGACATTGCTATCTGGGAGGTTCTAATTTCAACCAAACTTTGTGTTAGCAACTACAGCAGTGTGGGATTAAGGGCCTTGCTCAGCAACATCTCAGTGTGGATTTCTGAGAGGCAATCTCCTAGCATACTAACCGAAGATTTTATCAAATTATTGTCTGAAATAAACATAAACAACTGTCTGTGCTTAATAAATAAATAAAGTCAAAGTAATATGCAGAGCTGACATTTTATGAAAGCCTTGAAGCTTTCATTATCACCCATTTTAGTGCTGAGCGTCTCTAAAAACACTTATATCTCATAATCACACAATGCTGTGGTGTTATTATGGTTTGTTTATGCAACAGGTGAAACCAGACAGAGCTGCAGATCTCCCTGTTTAAGTTGGAGGAAGCTGTTATTCATACATACACTCAGTGATGTGTGAGCAAGACTCTGAACAGATGAAATGTATGAAAACTCTATCATTCATTAGCGTAAGTCTTGTTTACACTGCAACCACCACATCAAGTACTGTGTGGATCAGTGAGTTAAATGCAGAACCACTAGACACAGTTTACTCAACCTGACTGCAAGTACCTGACTCTGAGGGGAGTTTACGGTTTCTTGGCTGTGAATTGCAGCTTGGTCCCCGCCCTGTAGCCCTCCGGCTCTGCGTGGATAGTTCTGAAGGTCAAGTTGATCCGTGGGCCTCGGTCATGGTACTCTTTAGCCACTTGATGCTGGTTGAGGCAGAGAGACAATAAAATACGTATTTGAAAGTCAGATATCAAATATTTATTGTATGTTGGTCTTTTATCCAGAAAGATTTCTATGAAGTTGGAAGGTAGTGGAGAATCTAAGCCTCCATGTTTTCATGGGCAAGTGGCTATTGCTTGACCATGGCTTGTGCTTTTAGAGATCCAACCTGTGACAGGCTGAAGAACGACATCTTTGGTCATTAGCTTTTCATACCAAAAACATGAGGCTGACATGAGACGTGTGTGCAGTGGATCTTGGTTTTCGGTTCTTTAGTTAACAAATTAACATTTTTTATCAAAAGATTGGTATGTGACACCAGGTACGTGCTGTCTTTTATCAATCTTGATATTGTATTCACATTGATCCATAATTTTTTTTAAGTATTATTTTTTCTGGTCTTTTTTATGCCTTTATTTGATAGAGATAGAGAGAGACAGGAAAGGGGGGCAGAGAGACAGGGGACGACATGCAGCAAAGGGCCACAGGTCGGACTCGAGCCCGGGCCGCTGCGTATATGGGTCGCCAGCTCTACTGACTGAGCTAACCAGGCGCCCATCCATAACAACTTTTAATTCCATATAATCTACGTTGTACGAGAAGAGACTCACAAATGCATGCAACTGAGAACAAGAACTTAAGGAAAGAAGATCAATATTGTCGGGAGTTTCCTAAACTTGTTTTGCAGCTGACCTCTGCACTCTTTACACAGGTCAGCCAGAAAATGTGACAACATACAACAAATAACAGTTTCTTACCATTTGGCATATGGGGTAAAAGTCAAATGTATTCATCTTTGCAAAAACAACACTAAAATGTTCCTCGAATAGCAAAGACACAAAGTGTTTTCTTCATTAACTTCAACTTATTGGTGTCGCATTTGTATCCAGCCTTTTGCATATGAATGAATGATTTCCTTGTTTTCCCAATTGTGCATCACATGTCAATAAACACATACACAAACACACACGCAGACACACACGCAGACACACACACACACCTCCCTCATCTACATCTCAAAAGGAGGTAAAAGGTTTTCCACAATTCACAAACAGTGTCAAAAGAAAGAGTCTGGAACAGGCAGAAATAACCCTTTATCCTTTTTCCAACAGTACGTTAGCAGGATTGGCAGGTTTAGTTAAATATTTAGCACTCACTTCCAAATCTCTCTAACTTAGCCAGGAGGTTTTTATTAGGTAGACTAAGTGACAGAGGAAGAATTAATGGCTGGTGTGATCTTTTTTCCCTGGCAAGATCTTTAAAGAAGAGATGAAACCTTTGTTAAGATACTCAGGGAAGTGTCGCCATAAAATACCTGTGACCTTCTACTCGTTTTTTCTTTTAAGCTCTGTGCTCTTTCACTGTTAAATTTAATTTACTTTTTAGTGACATTGCTAAAGCAGTTTATTAAATACAAGCAACAAATGTGCATTTAAAGTGATTCTGATGCTGAATGTTAAACTCACAAGAACGTAAACAATTGCCACATATAAACAAATATACTTCTAATATTGCTACTTTTCCATCTGCCAAATGAACTGAGTGCAGAAAACTAACAGCAAGAAATCTTCTAAAACATAGGGTGGCTCTGGCATAGAGATTAGGTGACACACACAACCAACTACTAAATAGTATGACCTATTTCCAGTCAGAGTCATCATGAAATTCAAATAATATAACACTTTCTCACTGTTGAGTGTGACCAAATTGATTTCACCAGAAACCAGCAGCACACTTGTACTCTTCATCTGCTTTCATGTACTTGTATAAACCTGGCCGCTGTCCCTGATTGCAAAAACAAATGACTCTCATTATGCTGAAGCTCTGCTGTTCTCTCCAGGCCACTCCATCCATCCTCGCTGCCCGTCGGCCAGGTGCCTTGAACACAGGCCTATCGACTCATGTGTGTTGCGTTGGAGGCATTGATACACACACACACAGACTCACAAATGCACACACAAGAGCAGAACACGTGAGGTAAGTCTATTTACTGTACTGTCCAAGGTTAAATTATGTAACACAGTGTGTTATGGTTTCTTTTTTTTTGATAATAATTTTTTGCACAGGATGGCATGTGAAGTTTGTTTGATATAAACAGACAACACCCCAGGAAGTTAGTACAAGTAGTGACAATAACATAAAACACAAGGAACAAGGCATACAGTATTGCCTTGTTATATAGGAAGTGTAGCGTGGAAACACCACAGCAACCAACACGACCAGCACCAAAGAAAAAAGAAAAAACAAACAAACAAAACCAGTATCTTCCACCACTTTTAAAGCAATCTTTAATTTCTGCCTGATCCGTCCCTATGTCCAACGGCTGATGTCTTTATTAAAGGTTATTTTTCGTACGTAGGCCCTTGCATTTGATTGGTGGAGCCTACCTGCCAATCGTCTTGCGTGGCTCCTGACATCAGCAGAAGTGTCCCATGACTCAAAGGAACCCGGATCCGCTCCACATAAGTGTAGTCACCATCCTGCTCCTAACACAAAAACATTAAGAGAGTAAAGCACATTGTATAATCGTCACTTGACACACAATATTGGTAAAATGTACTGGCACATGACTGTGACGCACATTAATGCAAAAAAGCTGCACATCACAACTACATTGAATACAACTCATCTACATCATGACTAACGAAGCCTGCCTCCTAAGAAGTGTGTACTTAAACACTTGAACAGACAACTACACACAGACCTCTAAATAGGCTCAATTCTCAACACTACACTTCACTTAAGCCTTCCCCCTCTGTGTCCAAATTTCACTGACTCACCTTGGCTGCTGTTCTGCACTCCACTACCCCGAATCACTTGTTTTTATTAAGATGTGCACAGCAGTTCTGCTGTTCAGTAGCATGTGGTAGAAGCCTCCTTGACTATGAGCCAAGTCTTACTACCGAACTAACAGCAAACAGCTAAAGGTCAGATAAGAGTGTCTGTAGGTTTTAGAAGGCCAAAACAAATACTTTATGAGACCACTTTAATGAATACCACAAGCTGTGTTTAAGGCTAAAATTATGGGAAAATAATGAAACAAGACTTATTTTCTAACACGGCAAGCAAAGGTTCTGTACCTATTATAAGAGGAGTATAAAAATTATGCCAAGAAATTCATTGTTCAGAGGCATAATATACTAAATAAGTATGTAAACAACATATTTGTTATGCTGTATCTAGTCCTAGGAATGGAAATATATTTGGAGCAAGATAAACCTATTTTTGAGCTCTACCATCATCTCACCGGTACAGGCTGCTTGCGGAGGCTGAACACTCTGGTGTCACCCAGACTGAGGGAGGCAATGGTGGGTTTGGCACCCAAGGACGCCTCATCGTCACTGTGCCAGCCGATGCTGTCATGGCCGTCCCGATACAGGTTACACAGCAGTGAGTTGAAGCTGCATTGGCTCACCTGCTCCACTGCCTCGCGAAGGGTTAACAGCAATGGATGCCACTATGAGAAAAAAAAAAAGCAGAAAGCGAGAAGAAAAGAGAATTAATTAATTAAAAAAACCCAACCATTAGAAAAAAATAAACAAATAAGGAAGACAGCAACACAACAAGCAAGGGACAACAAAATATTCCCAGAAAAAGATGAAACATGAAAACAACAGCAACAAAAACAAAAGGAAAAAACACCATAGTGAGGAATTAAAAAAGAAAAAAGAAAAACAGACTAATGTAATAAATAAATGTGTGGATATTGTTGTGTAGGTTAAGTGCTTGTTTTTCTTTAAAGTCTTGGTGGCTTAGGGGTTTAATGAGTTTATCTGACCTGTGTGTTAGCAGCCATGGTGGAGCGAGCATATGTATAGGGCAACTCTCCATACCAGCAAGTCAGCCTCGGCTCGTCGTATGCCTCACCTGGATCAACACACACAAACACAAAATGCACCTTCACCTATAAAAACTAAACAAATAAAACACAATTGATACTGTCAGGACATTTTGCGGCCTATATCTGTAACTATATCTGTGTTAAGGGTGTAATAAGGGTAATTGTAGACGGTTATTGTACAGTGACAGTTGTGCAACCCTAATCAATGTGCTATTCTATGGACACAATTTGGTTGTTACTGGTTGTTCCACACGCTGCAGCATTTATTTAATGTAAAAGAGCAGCTGTGGACAGTTTGCATAATAGAAAAAAAGCTAGATAGATATCTCTATATTGCATCAGTAACTGGGTCATGGCAATTTTAACTTAAAAAAAGAATGGATCCAGTCTGTTTTCATAGCTGCCTCGTTTTTGCTGAAGGACAAGAATAAGTAGGGCAGAGAGCTGACACAGTTTGTTCTCAATGTATTTCTTTCCAGTGTTAACACAAATGTACAATGATCATCTGCTTTGTCACCAGAATTGATTTCTAGCAGAAGTTAACAGCTAGAAGTCCCCAAAGAGGTCACATTATCTCACCTGAGGTAGGGAGGACAATACAACTAGTCCTGCCCGCAAGGACACATTATAGCATATAATATGTTATGAGTCCTGACAGAAAGTCTTTGGCTCACTACAGGCATTTTTTTCTTCGTTATCAACGGGCATCTGCCCTGAGCAGCGGCAAGATAAATCCTCCCAGGGTGGTGTCCAGACACTGGTGGTGGTGGTGGCTGAGGACTCTGCTGAGGCTGATGAAATAATGAAGCTGATACATCTGAGCAGATTAAACAAGTTTTTGAGTAAACACTAGTAAAAAAAAAAACTTGCTTTGCATTACATCCGTGCCTTTCTGACCCCTATCAGAGCGCATGAACTCCAGACTCCTGAAGAGTGTAATTTGTAGTGAAATAAAAACATAGAGCAAAATATATAACAATAGACGCATTTCTATCGTCACACAATATATATCACACAGCCCTCATACAATCACTTCACCTAAATGAGAGGGTATATGTTGCTTTCCTCTCTTTGTTCTCGCTTTGACTCATAGTCTTTTGATCATATGTTAATCATTTTATATTTTTTTTGCAGAGCTTAACCCACACATGCACACTTATAAAGAAATCTTATTTTGAACCTGGACTCCTGCCTCATCTATGGGTCTCTCAAGCACACTTCAGATTACCCACTAGCCATTAGATTGACAATCTTACAGTAACATAAGGTAAGTTAAACATCTAAATCCAATTTCTCCGTCTGTCTGTTTGTCTTCCTCTGTGGGTCTTGGTGTATCTCTCTTTTTCTGGAAACAATCCGATCTCTTCCAAGAACCAATTCTCTACCATTAGTGTATTTTGGCCGGCCTTCTGGTACAAGAACATGGTGAAACCAAAACAAACTGTTCAAGCAGCCATCGCTTTTTATGGCTCTGAATTATAGTACTTTGACTGAGCTAAATATGTGTGGTAATTTATCAACTTTCAAATGCCTTACTCTTTCCATAAAAAGATGCTATCGAAGGGAAAAGATTTACACACTGGGTCCAATGGTTGGAAAAACTGATTCACAAGGGTTTTTATAACAAGGCAGGATAAAGAGGACATACAAGAGGTGACTGGTGAAGGGTTAACATCCTTTTTCCACTACTTCCTCTTGAACCTAAACATCACATGGACTTTGTTGACAAAGTCTGAGGAGTGATGGATTGAGATTACACAACTTGCTGCTATGGTCTCTGTTTAGAAATCATCTTGGTCACTTGTCTTTATCATGCTGTTTGTCTGCTTCGGAGCTATCACAGAGTAATACATAAGATGGATGAGAGCCAGCTGGGAGAGAGGCTGATTCTGAGGCAAAGTCTTGCTGTAGCTCAACAGGCTCGCTCTACATAGCCTGGGTTCAATGTGTGAGTTATTCTTTCCTTTTAAAAAGGAAAATGCCAACTGTTTTGTGAAATTAAGCCTTTGCACAACTTAGGCACACACATGCATGGAGAGCGTGGCAGCAGTTTTTTTTCAAACTTCTCAAGACATACTGTAAAATACTGTGAATCAATCACTGTACAAATCCAGATGCACATTGAAAATGTCTAAAGATATTGTTCTTAACATAAAAAATTTAAAGGATTTCGCACCCTTGATATTAATACACACTACTTTCTTAGTTTATTACTTCTAGTACTTGGTATTTTTTATATGTTCCAAAATAAAAATGTTTCAATAAATAAAAAGTTTTCACTGTCACGTTTTACAGACATGTACTCAAATAGTACAGCTGCAGTGGGGAAACCCTGTTTACAGGCTTACATCACAGGCTCACATTTCAACTCTTCCTCCACCTCTTTATTTTTAAGCCCCCGGTACCCACCCTGTCTGTAGTTGGTCTTCTGGGACCAAGGGAGCTCTGCTAACAGCTTACTGAACATCCAGTCAGCCTCTTCAAGCGGAAGAAACCCAGGCAGCAGCTGCAGTCTGGACAGATGGACAAAGACAAAACCCAGAAACTATAAGTACCCAGAAAAGTAAGGTGGATAAAGACAATTTGTACTTTATATATTTAGATAGAATTTCTACAGAAAAGTCAAACATGGGTTTAGGGCGCAATTCAAAATACTTGGTTCAAGTCTGGACCATTGCTGTCACCTTTATAATATTGACTCTCTAATAAAGGCATATCTATAAATCTATAACTGATAAAAGGTGTAGATTGCAAAGAACACATTTAACTAACGTTTTTCAGTGGATTTAACAGTTCAACATCCCCTTTCAATATCAAAGCTTAATTGCTGTTTGTTTACCCACCACATCGTTTGATTAAACTGATCAAAACGGTTGGTTAGTACTTGATAAGAACTAGTTTGAAAGAAGTGTTGTCCTACCAGAAGTTATTCAACCACAAATGATCGAAAGTTAATAATCTGATGAACCTCAAAACCTCAAAAAAGACTCAGATGCAAAGTAGTCTAAAAAGCTTATTTTCAATACTGTTAAGACTAAAGACTAGGGCTTTTGTCCCTTACTCAAAGGCACAAAGGTACATAGGCTATATGTACAGCATATGTGACCGCATATTAAGTGTCTCTTAAAAACATTGCTCACTCCCATGTGTAAGAGGCATGACATTCACTGAGAGCAACACTATTGTTTGTGGGATGACTGCCATCTAGTGGGCTTCAAACTCAATCACAGATTTTTCATTTTTTAACTAAGCACACTGGTTTGGTACCATATTTATTCTCCTCTTTTCCATTTGGTGTAACCTTTTTCATCCACACTTCCTTCTATATGAGCATTACTTCTCAGTTACAATTTACTCACCTGGACACTCCTGATGGCCTGTGGCTGATCTCATAATCACCTGCCTGTCTGTCCAGAGCAAGATGATGCATGTTAGCCAAACAGTACGTAGTGTACAATCAAGTGATGAGTCAAAACATCAGCAGATTAATTTAAAAATAGATGGTACATGACCCTGAAGTCTATCCAGTGATGAAATGTGTAACTTACTCAATTAACTTCTCTGGTGGAACATCTCTAATTGGCTGCAATGAAGAAGAGACAGAACAGAGGAAGAGTAAGCACTTCTGCATAAAAACACTCAAAAAGGTTGTAAAAGACCAATAAAAAATTGCAAAGTGACTTATTTTGTATGTTTATTGTTTACCTTAACAGGCTGGTGAAACTCAAATGTCTTAGGTGTATTCTGGGGCCCAGATCCCCAAGAAACAGGGACTGGATTGACACTTTTGGGTTGTTGGTGGTTTGTGACGGCACCTGCAAAAGACAATAATAAGAGGCTGTTTTGTAGAGATCAGGCAGTTTAATATAAATAAGAACATGTTTTTGTAAGTGTGTGTGTGTGTGTTTCAATTAGACACAAACACAATGTCAGCACCCAGGGATATAAAGCAAGTAAATATATAAATAATGACTTCATTCAATACAATAGTATACATTGACCCTTAAAGTACCTGTTGGTCCTGAGTGTTTGGGCAGTTGTTTAGCCCAGGAGCCCTGGACTCTGGCACGCTGACGCTTATCTGACATCACATCACATCTGTGTGATGGAAAAAGGAGGCAGCAAGACTTCACCAGCTAACCAAAACCAATTCTCCACACATCAACAGAAACATGCAACTCTTTCATCTGCCACTATAAATGATGACAACCTGCAAATAAATTCAAAGGACCAGTGTGTAGGATTCAGTGGCATCTCGGTGTGTAAGAGAAACTACAGCAGCCGCAATAACCCAAAATGCCCGTTCTGGTTTGTCCGTTCTGGGCTACCGTAGAAACTAGGGTTACCACGGTATGACATTTTCACAGTACATGAAATGAACCACTTTAAACGTTTTCACATTATTTTTTAATAACACTTATACAGTAAAATTCAATTTACACGGTTGATAAGAGTCAATTTTAATTTTCCTGGTAATGAAAACACAATGATTCTTACATCATTCACTAATGAGATAATATCTATGAATATTATATTCCACTAGTAGTGCCTATTTTATTATTGTTTATCTTATTTAACATGTGTTGAGGTCGGACATGTCTGTCTTTCCTCCCCAGGCCAGTAGTCAGTGACTGCAGTGGCATCCAAAATGAGAGAGAACCATACAAATAATTGTACATGTCCATCTCTATGTTTTTGTACTATGTTCCTGGAGTATTTGGTGGCAATGCTTTTGTTTCGTAGTCCTTTCTGATGGTAAGTCTATATTGTTTTAAAGTTATAATACATGCTCTTTTGTCTGCACATTATACATCGCACTGGACATTCATTTGCTTTTACTGACATTTAAAACTTAAAAACAGGATGGTGCGTTTGATGTTTCTCATCAAATGTATTATTATTAATTAATTATTCGATAATACCGTGCAATAAAAAGGTTTAACTTAGTTGTATCATTACTCATTAAAGTACTGATAATTGACCAGCTTCATCTGCATTTCAGTGCCGTGTTAACAGACACAGAACAAATTCTTAATTGACTTAATGGTGTAATTTCTGAAGCTAATGAGTGGTTAGCAGAGCTGGCTCGTCTCTGTGCTCAGTTAGACAAACAGACTTAAAGTTTCCTCTTTAAACAGGTTGAACTGAAAACAAACAGCGGGCTGACTAATGCTGAACCAAATCTGTAAATAACTTACCAAAATGACAGCTACAACACAAAACTACAGCGAGCAGAGAAGAGACAACAACAACACATAGGTTAGCACTTCTGCTTTGGCAGTCATGGACCGTGTGTTACATAAAAATAAATCCTACCCGGAGCTGAGATGTGAAGCAAGGTTCCGCCCCGTTTCTGGTCTCTCGGCCTCAAATCTTTGGCTAATGTGATCGATCCTTAAATATGTGGATCACATTAGTACAGTACTCCAGTTAATATATTTGCTGAAGTACTGTACTTAAGTAGAGTTTTGAGTTACTTGAGTATTTCCATTATGTGTCGTGTTCTTCTGCTGCATTAGTGCAAAATGTTCTTTTTCCTCCTCTACATTTGTCATTGTCAGCTATTAGTTTATTTGATTAAGATATTTACTTCAAAACACATGACTGGTTTATAAAATATGATATATTATTGATTAAACTATCAGGAAGTATCTAAAGTATTTCAAATAAGCTCCACCTTGACGAGCAACAATATAGAACAGTAAAGATAATCCCAATAGTATACTACACTACACACAGACTGTAGAGTCTATGTAAATACAGTAAAGATAATCCTAATAGTATGACATATAGACACAGACTGTATAGTCTATGTAAATACAGTAAAGTAATAACATAATCTGAAAAGGGGCATGCATGATGAATACGTCTCCTTACATATACTTTGTACAATTTGCTTATACATTTTGATTATATACATGTTTACTTATGAACATTTTTGAAATCAGGGCTTTTATTTACAGTTCAATAGTTCTTCCATCAGTGTTCAGAGGTCATTGTGTGCATTATGCTACTGAGCCAATACAATAATCAGTGTAATCCCAATAATCTCTAAAGGTGTCATTTTATTCAACTATTAGGGTAAAAAGTACACAGTTGCACAATAATTTACTGTATGCCAGAGCTTTTATTAACAAACCGTATAAAACACAAGTTTCCAGCAGAATAAATGTATACAGTGCATTTCACATGTAGAAATTCAATTTTTAAATTTAATTTCTCTACAGAGGAAAAGCATTCACGAGGCAGCAGTTGAGGCACAGGTCCGACCAAGTCATACGGGGTATTGATAACTGTGTGAAGAAGAGCGGTTCTCCTCTTGCTAGTATGTGAATGAGTCTAAGTAAATGTGAAACTACAGCTGATGTAAAATATTCTCCATCCCTCTGAAATCCTTTCACAACACACAGGATGAACTAAATGCACAGAGGTTAAGAGATTTTCCTTCGTCTATGAAAGGTTTACATTTTGATAAAAAAAAAAAAAAAAAAAGAGGCAGGAAGTGGAGCAACTGTGTAGTTCACATGGACATAGCACCAATTGAATTACATCATCTAATAATACATTTTAATCCAGTCAATACCCTCTCATTGAGTCTGACCCGTTCCAGCTTTAATGTCAACAGAAAGGCACTTGTGTTTAATGTGACAGCGATAACTACAAAAAAAAAACAAAACTTTGGTTTAGAACGAGTGATACACTGGTGCATCAGCAACCCACCACAAGGTATTATTTTAAATATACTGTAAACACGTGATATTATAGAAAAAGAGCCAATGCATGATAACAATTCAGCGATGCAAGTAAAATGACATGATAAGAAGCAGAGATGGCCATCTTTAAATGGCTCAGATTTGTAAACGGCTAGCCTAAAGGTCTGAGTTTGGCTCATGTGTTCATAGGAATATAAAATAAATAATTATACATATATAAAAAGGATGCCCACCACCAGTCTCCACTGCTTACAACAGCAGGGTTAACAAGTCACCCATTTTTTGGCTGCATTATTTCCACCATCAGTGTTACTGACAAAAAGTACTAATGTCCTTTGCCAAGAGCAGCATTTTATCATTTCAGCTCCTGCCTTCTTTAGCCGTTTCTCTCCATACAATCACACCAGAGCAGAGGTTGCCATTTGGCACTAAGGCATATACATGCATTGATGGGCACATTTACTGAATGCACAAAGTGAAATCTCAGGCAATCCTGGAAGATCAATCACACAAATACAAACACAATCTCTTTTACACCTTAAACACTGCATTGGGTCAGAACCGAGTGGCTGCATGAAGATTTGTCTGTGCTCTCCTAATCACTCTTCAAATTTGCACCATTCTTCTGCTCCCGCAGCTTCCTCCGGTGCAGGTATCCGGAACGTTGCAGACGGTTCATTGTAGCTCCCAGGAAGATGACGAGGTTGATTGGCACCATCTTGGTAGTCACCCAACCCTGCGGGAAAAGAAACACCACAACATAAGAGGTGCATGGGTTTAAAATCAACTTAATCTATAGCTTTAAGGTTTTGATCTTTAAATGAAATGGTAAAATAAAATGGCTAAAACCTTTAAAAAGTAGATTATATACATTTTTATAGCACCTAAAACATTGTTATGGCAAAAAATGTATTAACAGAGTTTCCACAAATTGTTTGATTAAGACAAAATACAGCCTGGGTGTATACTGGATGTGTGTTGTAACTGAATATGTTATTAAAGTCCTCAAGGGGCATTAAAATCATCTACTGAGCAAGATAGTTCATTCTTAAGCCATAAATAAGAGCAACATTGAAGTTTACTTCATGTATTCCTGGACGGGTTCAGTATTTTGAAGTTTCTTACCATGACAGCATGGGGGAAATAGCCATTGGTCTGGCTTTGCAGACCCACAGTGTTGAGCTCAGCTGCAACATAGCGCTCTGGGGTGGGCTTGTCCAGGGTGGGCTTCCTGATACGAGTCATTTTAGTGGCCACAAAGAAGGGCAGCACGCTCTGGAAGAAGACAAATGTAAAACAAAGTGAGATGAACGCTTCAAAAGCTTCTTGTTTCAAGAAACAGTTCAAACACAGTTTGAATAAAAGATACATTTAACTTAAGAATACATAAAGTCATTGCTATGAACTGGTGTGATGATTGCTGGGGTTACCAGGTGAAAATACACTCAGGGTTTGCTGAGGTGAAATTGTTGTACATACTGCAACCACAAGGTGGCACATGAATGACTTACAGAGAGAGTTAAAAACAGAACAAACAAGCTTTGTGTGGAACAACCTATTTTCAAAAATATCCCTGCTGTAAAAATGCATATCAGAGACATCATTCATGAACGTGTATTCATGCCATTACCCCTTTATGGAGGATTGGCAGAGAGCAACACATTGGATTTTGTAACTTCTTTGAGAAAATTTATCTTTTATGTTTGTATCCTTTGTCACTGGGTCTATAGCAAAGGTTTCAATAAAACTACACACACACACACACACACACTACAATAGGGTATAATAGGGAGAAAATCCTGTTAGGAGAAATGCTGCAGGGAGCGCAGAGATGGAGGGATGATGGAGAGGTGACCCTCCTCCTCCCTCCTCCTCCATTCTTCCCTCTGTGTTTACGTTCTATCCTCTCTTTCTTTCCTCCTCTCTCCCACCCTCCTACGTCTTCTCCCTCCTTCCCCTCTCCCTTCTCTCCTTATGTCCTCCCTCTCTCTCGCATCCCTCCTCTGCTCCCTCTTATCCTCACCTCCCCCTTGCCATCCCTCCTCTCCTCTCTCCTCCTCCTTCCTCCCCTCTTACTCTCGTTTCCTCCCTCACATCCACCAACCGGTGTGTTGATGACTTTCTGTACACGCTGTCGGTCTGTAAACGCAAACATGTTCTGTTTGTCGCCTGATGAAACTTTATTTCCTGTTTTAGTGTCTGCACATGAGTCGCCTTGTTCCCCGTCTGTCTG